TCCAGTGCTGGGAAGGGAACAGTGAGTCAGTGACCGGGGCGTGGGCGCAGTCCCACCAGGGGGAGGTGCCTGGACGGGCCTCTCTGCCCCCAGCACCCCACTGCACCCCGCGCGGGGCCCCGGCCCGGCCCCTCCTGTCCCCGGCTTACTTGCGACAGGCGACCTCAGCAGCTGCAGGGCGGCTTGCTCTGTGCTTGGGCCCCGTGGGGCTGCTTCAGGTGGCGCAGGGAGGTGTCGCCGTACTGGATCCCGGAGCCCATCCTCTCGGGGTCCAGCTCACCTAGGCCGACAGAGCAGCGCTGAGCAGGGGGAAGCACGACACACACACAACCCCCCCCGGCTGCAGGGGGCAGGAGAGGAGTCCCCCAGACTCTTCTTGGAGGGGCAGGGCCAGCTGGGGGTGTCCCAGCCCAGCCAGGCACCCCCTGGGCTCAGTCCCCTCCTCCCAGACTCCAGCGGAGCCGTGGGGCAGGAGCAAACCCTGCTGGAAAGTAGACGAGTTCCCCTCCTGGCTGAGGCTGGAGGTTCAGGCTCCGCAGCAGCCTCGCCCGCCCACGGGCCCCGCTCTGCCCCTACCGGACTCGATTTTGTTCAGGATGTTCCTTGCACATTTTAGAAACGCTTCCTCCACGTTCTCCCCGGTCAGCGCGCTGGTCTCCAGGAACATGAGCTCTGCCGGGGCGAGAGCAGCGGCAGGGAGTTCCCCTCCTGGCTGAGGCTGGAGGTTCAGGCTCCGCAGCAGCCTCGCCCGCCCACGGGCCCCGCTCTGCCCCTACCGGACTCGATTTTGTTCAGGATGTTCCTTGCACATTTTAGAAACGCTTCCTCCACGTTCTCCCCGGTCAGCGCGCTGGTCTCCAGGAACATGAGCTCTGCCGGGGCGAGAGCAGCGGCAGGGAACCAGCGCGCAGCGCCCGGCTGGGGAACTCCCCGCCCATGGCCCGTTGGCTCAGCTTACGCCCCGGGCAGCGCCTGGCACCCGCAGAACGAGGCCCAGCCCCACCCGGAGCGTCCACTCCAGCCATGTGGGACACAGGGTAAGCGCCCCCTGGTGGCCACCCAGTGTCACTGGCTGCCCACAGCTCCACAGGGCAGGGGGTCAGCAAGCAGCCCCCTCCCACCCCCAACAGCGACCAAGCAGCCTCCCCACGCCAGAGAGGGGAAAGGAGGCAGGAGGGATCGCTCAGGAGTCCTTTGGGGCCTTTAACTCTGGCCTGGCAAGGACGGCAGAGTTACCAACCTCGGGGCAGATGCCAGCTCGCCCCACCGGCACCACCTCTGGGCCCTGAGAGCACCCCCTGCTCCTAGCACTACCCAAACCCCTGCCCCTCAGCATCCCCTAGCGGGGCCAGCCCTGCCTGCCTAGGGAGAGCATCCCCTCCTGAGGCCCCCTGCCCCACTCCCTGCCCCCCAGCATCCCCTAGCACCACCCTGGGGCCAGCCCTGCCTGCCAGGGGAGGGCCCCACCCCCCCGTCCCTGGCTCTCTATGTTGCTGGACCCAGCTCGGCTGGGGGGGGGCCGCAGGAGGCT